GTGAGCATATTGGCATATGAATTATGCTAATGTGTGATGAGCCCATTAATGACTCAGGTGGTGAATTGATGAGCAGGACAAAACTGTGTGCATGTATGTGATTTTTCTTTGTGTTATTTGCTTATTTATCGTCATTCCTGTTTCCATCAGGGCTGCATGAACAACATTTCATTTGGCAGTGAAAGTGTTGGTTACTATGAGACGGTTGCCGGGGGTGCAGGGGCGGGGCCAGGCTGGAACGGACGGAGTGGAGTTCACAGTCACATGACCAACACCCGCATCACCGACCCCGAGATTCTGGAGAAGAGGTCAGATATAAACTCAACTATTAGCATCCACTAAAAAAGTGTTGTTGTTGTTGTTTTAAAGGAAAAATAACAATAACAAAACAAAAACAGTTTTCCTCATTTGTCCCCTCCCCAGATTTTCACTGTACAAGTTTTAGGCTCCTTCCAACATCTTATTTATTTAACACTACTGATCTGTGTGTTGCTGCTGTTTGCTGTGTTCAGATATCCAGTGATTTTAGAGCAGTTCTCGCTGCGGCCCGGCTCGGGAGGTGCAGGAAAATACTGCGGTGGAGACGGTGTGATGCGCAAACTTCTGTTCAGGAACAAGGTTGTTCTGTCTGTACTGACCGAGAGGCGATCCACCCGTCCCTACGGCCTCCAGGGTAAACTCATGACCCTTTCAACTTGCATGCAGCAGCCATTTTCATGTTTTTTATTTGGTCTTGAAAGAGAGCATTTTGCTTAGTGACTAGCAGCTGTTATTTCTTCTGCTCTAACCTGTCTCTGCTGTTCAGGGGCTGAGGACGGTGCAGCAGGGCTGAACCTGCTTCACAGAGCAGACAGCAGAGTCCTCAACCTGGGAGCCAAAACCAGTGTCAGCCTTCAGCCCGGGGTGAGACTGCATAATGTGCATGTGTGAAAGATATACTATAAACTATAAACCATAGCAATTATGAAGTGATATTTTCATTTTGCATGAAAAAATATCATATTCTGATAACAGAATCTCATTCCAAAATGCAAATTATTTATATAACTGAAAGCAAACGTCTTCAGGATGACTTTAGACATTACATCTGCAGTTATTAAAGAGTGTGCCATTTCTTGTTGAAATGAGGCACATAAGAAAACCTCTTTGTATTGAGCCTTAAAAAGTTTTTATTTTATTTTCATTTTTCCTTTTGTGTAGCTTTATATTTCAAATATGGTCAAGCACTCTAAAAGTAACCACAATACACACTGGCTTATCCTTTACATTTAAAATTTTTGTTGAGTATAAACTGATGTGTCCACTGAATCCGTGTGTCTCCCCCTACAGGACATGTTCTGCCTCTACACCCCTGGAGGAGGAGGATATGGCAAAGAGGAGGAGGCCAACGGAAGACCACAGACCAAGCGCAGGCGCTTGAATGAGACTTTCCCTGAGAGAGGCAGCGTCTTTGAATACAGAATGGCACAAGAGGGAGTGTGAAAGGAAATGAGAAAGAGAGGGAGAGATAACAGACAAGCTGGAGGAGGAGAAGAAGAAAAGAGGTGGGGAATTACAGGAACTCAAGCACAAAGAGAGATGGAGGAGACAGTGGTAGCAACATTATACTGTGAGACATAAAGACGGCACATGTTGAAGTTAGACGGGTGAAACATTTCAAGATGTAGGCTTGAATGTAGCTTTCACTGTAGTGAACACCACTAGAACAAAAAGTTTTTCAGTAACACTGTCTTGCAGAATCTGCTAACATATTTAATACTAAAAGACAATCAGGCTGTACTAACATTAGCAGGCCAAATGAGGGAACACTAATAGCTCAGGCACATTTGTGTGTTGGACACATAAAGACGTGTCGGCTCATTTAAATGTAACATTCCACTTTTTTGTTTGAATATTTTTCTATTACTAGAAAAAAAAACAGTCCCATTTTGATAATGCATATCCCAGTGTAAATCCCATCTTATGAAGAACCCAAATTTGGCCCCAAACGTGAGACATAGTTTCTATTTTTGCACACTGAAATGGTTTCAGTTTTAAAATGAATTCAAGTGTAACTGCGTGAAAAAAGCCGACCACATGAAGCAGCCGCTAATCTGTTTTAACTGTAACAACCACTTCACTAACACCACCAAGTCACAGTGTGGTGACTCTTCTTCTGTTGTTTTAACAAGACAAATAAACCCCATTTCTACTCCTTAGATTGTCCTCTTTTTATTCCTTCCTACTCCATTCAAAGACAGTAGTTTCAGTTATCAGTTTTTAATTGTAGTTCAGGAAGAATGCAGTTGTGATTTTGTTCTTGTGACATGCTGTGTCTCCATATCATGTTAGTAATGTACTGCAGTGTCACTTGTCACAAGTTGTGCATCAACATTGATTTGGCTCATTCAGAGATAATTCTTCATCATGTAAGTCACCAGTTCCCAACCTGGGGTCCCAACCCCCACCAGGGGCCGCCGAAGCTTCACAAGGGAGTCTCCAGGCCTTCATGACTTCAGTGCAGAGCCTGAGCACAACACATGTCTTTATCTGGGCACATTTCCCCCACAAATACAACATGCTTTTTAGCACAAGCATATGGCATTTTACGTTGTATAAATTAGCCAAGCAGATAGCGGACTTTTCCTCTAACTCACATGAACCCAGGGACAACAGCAAGATTAAACAAGGGTAAGGTTACAAAACAAGGCTCCATTACAACTCACAAGGTTCACTGACAAAACAACTGTCTTATACTAAACACGTTTTCTAAACAAATACAACATGCTAACGTTATTAGCACAAGCCTATGGCATTTTACATTGTATAAATTAGCTTGGCGATGAGCGGAGATTTTCTTTACTCATGTGAAACCAAGATAAATCGCACACAAGACTAAATGTTATTTAGTGGAGGCTTTGTCTTCATAATTTATTGTTTCTTATCTGTGATACTAAAGTAAATAAAAGCTTTGTTTCCACTGAGGGAAATGGTTTCAGCTTACAGAAACAGACAGGAGGTCTGCGTCATTGGGACGTGTAGTAACATTTCTGGGGAGGTGCACATCAGGCTACAGTGTCCATTTGATGCAGAAGTATAGTCCCGCTTAAGAGGGCTGTTTTTTAAGAAATATACAGTAGGACTATATCTCAGCATTTCATTCATTTTTATGAAGTACATTTTTTGTTAAGTTTAGATTACCATCCAAGATACAAACTTCTAACAGGAGAAGGACACGTTAAAGACCTGAACACGAGTTATATTCACAGAACCTTTACTTTCTGCTGAACAGTCCTGCGCCAGTAAAGTACGCAGTTAAAACAGTGATCTTGGTCAGGGAAGTGCAACAATTAAGACACACACAACCCACCAAGGCTCAGCGTGACTGCCGGTCATACATGTAAATTCATGAGAGGGAGTGTTGAGATGTAACTCAGGGTGGTTGTCTGGGGGAGGGGGGCATGTCAATCTTTGAGTAGCGTCCCCTCCTCCCATCTTTGGGTCAGGAATGATCAGGTAGGAGAGGAGGAAGGCTGGTGAGGGAGTGCAGGCATGCGTAGGCAGCTGATAAAGAGATAGGGGCCATAGCAGTGGAAGCAGCAGGAGGCTGACGGCTGCCGGACTGTTGATCTAAAATCAGTCGTGTGTGTGTGTGTGTGTGTGTGTGTGTGTGTGTGTGTGTGTGTGTGTGTGTGCTGAAAACTCTTAAAATAGATGCCATGGACTGTGGATCAAAGATGGTTTCCTTGTTTTAAGATCGCAATTCCTGTGGTAAAACAATCTATCATACTGAGAGGATTTGGGACTTACCCCCGCTGCTGCCTCTCCATCTTCACATTTCATTCACTGGCTAATAGTCGGCTTTAGGTTTTCATCTTGGAAGAATATGGGACTCTGTGTGAACATAAAATAAGCATGAATCAAGATAAAGTCCTTATTCAGGAAATTAAATATCCATTGTTAAGTCAAATACATCGTGAAACACAAAAAAACACTCACTTCAACCTATTTGTCTGAAAATGGAAAATCATCCATACTTTGCCAGTAACATCAGTTCAGCATATCTTTAGTAAGACTCTACATGTACAAGAGTCATAGAGCACTCAAAGGCTGTAGGATGGAAAACAGCTGTTAAGTAGGCAAAAATAAATCCTATGCAAGAAATAAAAATATGCAAAAGTGCAAATATTCAGAGCTCCACTACTGACACATTTTCAATTTCTGTCAAAGACTGAATGAGCCAGCAATTAGACAGTTATTTAAAGTAAATTAAATACTGGATTTTCTTTTTTATACATGAAGCTATTCCTCAAATTAACTTGTTACTTTAGACTTTTATTTCACTACATTTCAGAGGGAAAACTAATAGAAAGTGAGCCAGATAAATAAATCTAAAGCTGGAATTACTAGTTACTTGACAAATATTCATGAGATGATTTAAAAAAAAATAAAATAAAAAATAAGCCACCACAATCAGCTACAACAGTTAAATGCCACTTACACATTAATCCAACAACAATATTAATTTTGCTTTCATTCTTTTACTTTTGATTCTTAAAGTACATCTAACTTAAAATACCCGCTATGGTTTTGTTTTGTTTTTACTTGTCCGAGAGTATTTGTACATTGTAGTATTGCTTCTTTACATTTTAGGCACCAGACGAATGTAGAGCAAAGATAACGAACAGAGTTTTTACATTATATTGTATATTTCTCATGCATTTCTTATATTTTAAACAGTTACATTTGAAGGGTTTGAAATAAAAAATACCTCTCCCATGTAGCTGCCATGAGAATTCAAAGTTTGGTATTAAGCAAGGGGAAAAAAACACCTTTAAAGAGAGAAGATCACACAACCAACCAGGACTTAACAGCCATCTGAGCAAACATATTATAAGTGAGTGATCTATACATAAGAAAGTGATAATGTAGAAAAATGGACACTGTAAAAAGACCATAAAGCTGTTTGAGATGTGCAGTTTTAGTAAACTTATTCCCATATACAACAGTGAGCAGCACGGTTAAAATAAACAGCATTTTATTAACATACCCTGTTCAGCTCCATAACCTTCTTTTGATACTTTGATACTTCAGCTCAGCACTGTACAAAGCTTTAACAAGACCACAGGAAAATGGCATAAAAACAAAAACATTCACCTGTCGAGGTTGGCAGACATTTATAAGCAATTTCCACAGGAGGATGATCATAATGACATCAAAATAGTGCAAACAGCCGGCAGTGCAAAGTCCACAGGAAACGTGTCCCAGCCCATTAAAAACCTGAGGTAGATGCGGGAGGTAGTAAAGTGGCTGATTGTCTCTAGTGTCCTGAGAACATGCAGCTAAATCTAAAATGTGGCCCATCTTCTTAGCTTAAGATTTTTGTAATGTAAAAACAAACATTAAAATGACAAAGACAGTTATAGGGCCACCTTGCGGTTTCATAGTTTATCAGGTTAATATGATATTGTAGCTGCATAGGAGCAAGGAAGACAGTCCAGACGTAGTGAAATTCAAGACAGGAAGAACATACAGTAAACAGCTGGTCCTGTACATTTCACCATCTGAACAAACAGACCTAAACTCACAAATGACACAAGTGTGTGTACACATTGATGTGCACACAGACACACCCTGACAAAGGAGAAAACATGTTCTCACTGAAGTTTAAAATGCTGGTGGGATACTTCACAGCTCACATTTACTGTATATGCCGCCAACAGTCCAGCTTGTTGCCATTAGGTTTCACAAATGTTGAATTCAAGATTGAATCCAACAATACATTCAGCAGTCACATTTCGTAGACAACATGCAAAGGCAGTTTGTGTAGAAAAGCAAATTTGTGCCAATAAAAACAGTGCAAATAAGACTCAAAGAGCCTGCAGTGATAACACAGAACTTTTCATTGAAAGCTTGAGGTAGATATTTGTTTTGTTGTATAGCTGTTTGTGGTACATTTGTCCTCACGTCGATGAGAAACATGAGGGAGTTTGCTTTTGAAAATCTCAGACTTAAAAAAGGTAAAAAAAAAGTTTTCATGTTGGTAAAAATCTGTCAATTGCATCGTCCGTGGTTCAGCACTTTAGAAACAGTCAGCACATCTTGAGCCAGAGGTGATGATTGAGACTTGATTTTGGAGATGTTGCAGTAGAGAAGTGACGCCTTTGTTAGCATCTGTGCATTTTTGAGTGTCAGTATGAGGAAGACAGTGTTTCAGAGTCAGTATTGAGGATACCTGTTTAGGGGAGGCCCATTCTGCAGTGTGTACTGACCAGGTGGTTGATGATGTTGGTGAGAGTTCTGATTGGTTGGTACCAACACATCAAACACACTCTTGTTTGGAGGCACGGATTGCAACATGTTGTCCAGGTCCATGATGAGGGGAGGGGCTTGGACAGAAACTCGTCCGCTCGGGAGGATAGGCCAATAGGCATGACCTAAAAAGTGACCAGGTGCCACAGGAGAGCTGCCATAGCCGTAAAGAGGGAGTCCGCCATGCAGCGGCATCAGGGGACCTCCGTTGAACCGCATGCTGGGTGGAGCGACCGCATTGGGGGGAGCGTATTTGGCATAGGAGGTAGGAAGCTCCCATGGAGGTGCGACTGTCTCTCGTCGGGCTGACTTGTGCAGTGGCGGTCTGTAGTCCTCAAAACCGTCTGACCCTGCTTCACCATCAAGAGGAACACGCTTCCCAGACAGTGACATCCCTTTCCATTCCTCATCAGAGGAGGAGGAGGTGGAGGCCGGGCTGGCAGAGCTGGCTGAGGCACTACGGGCAGAGGAGGCGTAGCGTGGTCGTGGAGGAGGTGAAGGCCGAGGGCGCTCCACCTTGCCCCAGCAGTCCCTGGTAGACGCATCCACATCCCCAGAGGCACTAGGTGGCCTCAAGCTGTGTAGCAGAGAGTCGATAGCGAAGGATGAGTCCAGCTTAGGCCGGAACAAGTCCTCCTGTGGTGGGGAGGGGTTACTTGAGCGCATGGCAGGGAGGGGGTTGACTGGGGCAGGTGGTGGCTCAGATTCTGGCTTGTGTCCCTGCAGGATGTACGGAGCCAGATCCTGGGCAAAGATCGTCTCATCCTGCCGTGACACGGCCGTGTTTTGCCTCTTGAGGAGCTCCAGAGGGACACGACTCAGCTCCACCGCCCAGAAGTTGCCTTTGCCCTGAGGCTTCCCGGGGTCCTTCAGCACCTGGAAGGAGGATGGACATTGAGATGACACCTTGGCCTGACAACCTAGTCAGGCAGGACTGACCTAATATCGCTGTTAACCATCACAATAACAGCAGAGCTTAAAACTGGTTTGAAGGTTCCATCCAAAGCCCTCAGAGTGATTTCTACAAAAGGTTAAAGAGATAAACCAACCTCCACTTAGGATAGTGCGATGCAAATCTTAAAGGGACTGCTGTGCTATTTAGCAATCTAGATTGTTTTGGTGCAAGATGCCAATTGTTGGAACTAGATGGCACTCGATTTGTGGTGCTCAAAGCACCAAAGATACATTTAAAAACTAAAATCATGACCTGGTTACTCAGAGTAACCCACAAACTTTGTTGTGAGCAGTTTCATGTAGGAACTATTTTCTTTCTACCAACTGTATCATTACGCAGAAGGAAGTGTACATCTACTGCCAGCTCACAATTACATACCACTGAGCTACTTAACGTAACAGCTCAGCCAAGATGGACGCCATTTATCTTTACATCTTGCTCCGTCTTGACCACAAGCATCTCGTCCATGAGTAGATGCACTCTTCCTTCTGTGTGGTGATACAGCTGACGGGTGTAGTTTGGTAGAAAGAAAATAGTCCCTACATGAAACAGCTCACAACAAGGTCTGTGGATTATCTTGAGTAACCAGGTCATGATTTCTGGAAAGAGAGATTACTGTTAAGTTTTTTTTTTTTTTAAATCTTTTATGGCGCTTTGAGCACCACAAGCCGAGTGCCATCTAGTTCCATTATGTTCGAGAGAAGGCAGACATCTCTACAGCTGATATCTCCAAAACTGTGCGACTCACACCAAAACAATCGAGATTGATAAATAGCACTACAGGTAAGAGGAGGATGTTTTCGATTTTGAGGTTGACTGTCCTTTTAAAAGTCGTGAACTCTTTCCTTCAAGCCCACTGACGGGACCAAATAGGAATCTAATCATGGACTTGTTTGACAGTTTGATCATACCTTCACAAAGCAGTCATAAGAGGAGAGGTTGTGTCGCACAGAGTCTCGCCAGCCCTTGTAGTTTCCTTTGAAGAATGGGAAGAGAGTGCTGATCTCCTTGAGGATCTAGAAATCAAACAAAAAGGTCAGTATGTCTGTGCATTACAGTTGCCCAGTGCTATCTAAACACACTGGCTACGCATACAGTAAGCTTGTTGGATATGAATTAAAAGTAAGATGGTTATAATTACACTTTAAATAATAAATCTAAGAACTTTTATAGTGTAACAACATCAGCTGAAACGTGATGCACTGTATATCTTATCACTTTTCTGATACAGATCAGTGTCTGGTTTCACTGCAGTCCAACCTTATCAATGCAAACCAAGAATGGTGAGGGGTTGTAGTCACTCAAGTGTCAACAAGAGGCTGCTGTTTAGTGTCACTTTATGAACTGTAAATTTTCTGTAAGCGTTTTATCGACATATTTGATAGAAACGTGACAGTAACGCTCTGATTCTTCTTACTTTACAGGTAGAAATATACAACAGAGCATTGCATTTAATCTGAGATTTAGCTCGATTAAAAAATACTGCGGAATTAAAGTGAACACCTTTGCCAACACCGAGCGTAAAAGACACCATGCGCCATTTCTATCCAAATCACCTCAAGTATGACACAGGGGCTCAAACACATGTCAGTATGTGAGCAATCTAAATTCATTCTTACCTCAGACAACGTCAGTTTCTTCTCTGGGGATCTTTGGATGACCATAGCAATCATTGCGAGGTATGAGTACGGTGGTTTTGGATACCGCTGATAGTTCTTCTTCTTCCCACCGCTGGTGCCATTCTTCTCCCGTTCACTGCTCCACGAGTCCCGGGTAATACTTTCCTGTTTGCAGTGAGCATCTTGAGGAGTCGGGTACGCTGAGCCCGGTGGTGCAACTTTATCCATGAACGCCGTGGCACCGTTGAGGTGTTCGGAGCGCACTGCTGGTTTCTCCAAGCGCGACAAGTGCTGGGGAACCATCTGATCCAGGTGGCGAGGCCAATGTTGGGCTGGAGAGCTGCGCGCTACACCGCCGGGAGGAAAACTCTGCTGCGCATTTCTGTGGAAGTCAAGTTGATGGCCGTGGTGTTCTCCAAGGTGGGACAGAGCGAGTGGTGCCAAGAGGATCTGCTCCGGCCAGTGCTTTGTCATGCTGATCAGGCCGGGGGGAAGATCGGCCTGCACGTTCGGACAGGAGCACGGAGAGGGGGAGGGAGGTCAAAGAATCGGTCCTTAACTTCTGGCAGACTGCTGGCTCCAGGCTGACTCTATTTGAAGAGCAAACAATTAACAGTTTCATGTAAATCCCGCTGCGTAATCGAGGGGAGAATGACGCGTTATCTGAGAGCAGAATGACTGATCGCCCCGGGGGGCTGGGGAGGGTCTGTGTACAAGGAGGGGCGAGAGAAAGACAGTAAACCTGTAAATAACCCTTATGATAATATCAACATGCCACTTTACAACGCAGAGACACCAGGTTTGCTTTGGAATCAGTGATAAGAAGATTTACGCACAAGGGCCAAAAGTATTAAGAGCTTATTTGGAGCAGGAGATACACTAAGTCATTACTTTCATTTTTTTTAATAAAATCCTGAGACAAGAGCAACATCTCCATCACACATATATCAGTTTAAATCATGTTGCCAAGGCTGTATTGAATCATGAGCAGTTTTCTCTCGAGAGTGGCACTTGGGCGCAGTGGCGAAAAGTAAAACTCGTGGGGGGTGGGGTGGTGTACGAGAGAGAGAGGAGTAATTTCGATTGAAGCTTGCTTGCATGCAATCAACAATTTTTGGTGAGCAATATACAAAAGGAATGGCTAATATACAAATGTTAAAACGTTAAGTAGATGTCAATTGCAGCAACTTGGGAAATGTGTTTTTAATAGGCTGAATCAAATGAATTAGTCTCTAAATTATTTGAATCATTGAAAACCCTACAGATAATTAGGAACAGATTTTAAATGGCAATGTTGTTTTGGTTTTTATTGCTGCAGGTTAGCTTTATTCCAGAGACAAGCTATACAAAAGCTTTCCTATGTTGAGGAAAATGTACAGATTACAATTTGTCAGCTGACGCAGAAAAAGTAATTTGGAGACATTGCTCTGAGAGCGCGCAACATTCTGGGGGTGTTTTACGCACAGTAGGGTCTCCTTGTGACTATGCAGGATGTCATTCGGTGTTGAAAGACTAAGTTTCGGGAATGCACGTCTTTTGTTCATGTTAACGTAGTGCTAATGTGCAAACGCTTTCTTCCCAGCAAGACAGTGAAAACAAGTTGGATTAGCAGGAACCCCGTTGGCACGCTGGAGACTGTCCCTTCCCAAAGAAGCTGCTTTGCATGTGAGGAAATTCGGGGGCTATTCAACACCATTTGTGGGTTTTCTGGCGCTTACAAGCTGCTAAGTGTCGTTGTTGGGTCGGACATTCACACCTTAAACGGGAGCGATCATGCCTCCCTGAGCTGCTGCGTCAAGATATCTCTCAAACAAAAACTTAATCCAAGAATCAATAACCCAGTAAACTTCTGTATCGTGTTACAGTAAGTTTAATTCATGTCAAGTTACTCTGCTTTTTTTTATTTCTGTCATGGATATATTGCACCTGATAAAGTGATTGTGCCACCAAGATTTGTCACCAGAAGGACGCACCAACAAAAGAACTGGAAACAAGTCGATTTTCTAACTGATGCCACACCTTACTCTGTGCTGCCAAATCCCTAATCAGGTGACAATTAACCTACATTTTAACCTAAAGTGTGTGGCCTACCTGCAAATATATTCACCTTCAGTTTCAGAATCAGAATCAGCTGTAAAGTGCTTGCTTTGATGACACCAAATTGCATCTAACCAATCCATAACTCAACTTTCACTCCCCAATATACAAAGCAAATGCCAGACCCTGTTTATCAGGTGCCTGCAGAAGACTTTATGTTGCACAGAAGCATAGTTGGTTTTTTTTTTAAACTTACCATAAAGATCTGCAGCTTGTGTAATTTTTGCAGTGAAACTCAAAATGTTTGACCCTGTTTTCCAGTTCAGATGGCCTCCCCACCATGATGAGCAACAAACCTCCTTCACCTGCTGCAATTAGTGATTTTCTTCTTTGGTTGCATGGTTGGAAAGTTTGTCCCCCTCTAGTGGTTTCACCCAAAATTCAGCAAGAGGCTTGACTCACTTTGATAATCAACAGGCCTCCAGAGATACCGTGGAGAACATTCTCTGGTCAAAAAGTGAATTTAATGGCGTTAGATGTCAATACATTTTTTATTTCTTTCAGTGAACTGGACAGTTAAACATGTATAGGCAAGCCCTCTCACCCAACATACACATTTAGACCCAATTTACAAGCCCTTTCATAAAGAAGTGCTCAGTGCAGAAACACACTGATTTAAATACAAACTGCCTGTCTATCTCTTCCTGTCTGCCGGAGTGCCAGTTAATAGGTTTTGCCTGGATTAGTGAGCCATGCATGAGAAGAATGGGAAGCCATATGAATGGGATGGCATCCAGGACAAGGCTGTTCACATGGGCCGATTGTGTCCAGACAAATCCCTCTTAAACTGCCCCTGGGATGCATCCTGAAACTGAGATGGAGAGGAGGAATGAAGGGTTGTAGTAGAGACAGAGGAAGTTTCTATCTATCTATCTATCTATCGCTATCAAAGGATCTGGGTGAATTTTCATTTTAAACATATCTGATAGTGTCGTGAAGATCAAACTCCAGGAACTGCTCCACCATCACAGCCACCCCCAACTCGATCTCCCATATAGACCTCAGATATTTGAGTGATGGGTCTTGTAAATTTGAAAAAAACCAACAACAACAAAAACAACTTATAAATAAAAGATATTGCTCCCCTTTTTGGGGGCTTGAGAAAACAGAGATTCCATGTGTGTTCCTTCAGGCAAGTTTGGAAAAGAAGGTGTATTACTTGGCAACGACAAACTTGGCAAGAAATGTTCTGCAAACTGCAAGAGGTGCAGCTGCAATAGGGGATTTGTAAAAAAAAATTTAAAAAAGCTATGGAAAAAAATGTGCCCAAAACTGTTTGAAATTATCATATATATATATATATATATATTTAAAATTATGTCATAAATATATTATGTTTATGCACTTTTTTCAGGTCATTCCCTTGTTTGTTTTTGTTTTTAATTTCTGTATTTCTTTTTTTTTTTTTTAATTATTATTTTCCTAATTTCCAGGTGAATTTTGTAATTTTTTTCTAAATTCTCGCTATTTTCTGGGCCATTCAATTAAGCCACTTTGCTCAGGTTTCAAAGGTTAATAGAACTATGAACTTGGAGGAATCTGAAGAAATGAATTTGCGGTAAATTAAAATGTATTTTTATTGTTTATATAACAGGGACAATTCACAATACATCTGCAACTCCAGTTATAGTTAAAATAGTTTGTTGTCACTGGGGAGAGGCCACCAGTGATGCGCAGTTTGACGTAGTATTATGATGTACATCAAAAACTTGTTTTTGATCTTTTGTCCATCAAAACTAAAAGACATTTCCAGTCAGAAGCATCTGCATCTAGTACACTGTATTAGGAGTGTTTGTGAGGATCAGTTCGCACAAATTATGAAAAAATAAGTAATCTGGCTTACATCTTATAGTATATAGTCTTGTAGCTTTTGAGATATTAGTCTCCGAATCTATTTTTGTTGCCACAACAGTATAATGGAGGTTATCAGAGCGTTAAAAAGTCACATTATTTGGGGAAAAAAAAAAAAAAAAAAAAAAAGATCAGCCAAAAGTTCTCACAGGAACTATTTCTTCAGTAGAAAGAAGTTCAATGGAAAGATTTTCGAGCAAAGTCGATTATTCAGTCTGCTCTGGAGGGACGCATCACTGTAAATTTTAAACTCTGAGAGCACCACAAATTAAATTCAATTTCACTCCATTTTATTGCAGCAAATGCAGACATCTCAAAAATGCATATATAAAAATCTGCACATTTCCACATTTGAACACTATAAAGACACTGCATTGTGTCTTATTCTGATGACCAGAGATGTAGCTCATGCTCTGGTGCTGCTTCCTCTTTCTGTCTCTGCTGTGTTGGTTGGCCAGTTGACTGCAGGGGTCAGCAGATCACAGGGTTATCACTCGCAATCTCCCTCCAGATATTGACAGCTGATTCTGATGCTGCCTCCTTAGCATTCAGAAACCAGTCAGACAACTCACCTCCGTCATAATGATTTAACTGGACAGTTAGTTGACTTTGTTAAATTGATATATAATTATGGGGATGTGAAGGGAGCATGTGTTTAGGCTTGTTTTGAGTACTCTGTCAACTGTAACCAAGAGGGCAAACACACCCTGACAGTTTATTGTGAAAAGACTGAAGCGTATTTGTGTTTGTCAAACCAGCTGACGTTAACCCTGTGACAAACATTATGCACGCAAACACACCCTTTACATTCTAATAGACAAGGCGAGGGTACTTTTGCACATTGACACGGCACACCTTGTTTTTTTTGTTTCCTCATGTGCACTGATGGACTGAGAGTCTCATCCTACTCTCTAATGTGCTATGTGTGAGCTCAGTCCTGCGTGTTCTTTAATGAAGCAATAGGAGAAGATATTCGGTCTCAGTTAATGTAGTTTATTAAGCAGTAAAGGAATAAAATTACAGAGCTCTGGGTCTCAACTTCACGTCCCTGACGAACAACAAAGGTGTGTCAGTTCACGAAGTCTGACCTCCTGTCCTTTCCCTGACCCAGTATATTTGAGCGTAACAGAGTGTCATTGTGCACGCAAGGCGTTGTCCTCTTCTCATTGGCAGTTCCACTTCCTCCTTCACCACACCACGCCCCTGCCTCGTGTTAATCTGACTCCTTCCTGCTGGCGGTGGGGGCGTGATTCCTGTTTTGAAAGACAAGAGAACAACACAACTCCCTACACGTGCTGTACCTTACTATCTGTATATCACTTTCTATTCTTTTTACCATATATGAAACTAATTATCTAAGCATTGCGGTATGTGCTCCTCAGACTCCATGTCTCTTCCTCTCCTGTACTTCTCCACTTCTGCAAAGCAAACACATTCAGATCAGCTGAAATCATCTCAGCATTCTCATTGTTCACACATCTAAAACTTATATAGTGAAACACAACTTATAGTAAAACACATAACATCATTCTATTCCCAACAGCACATATGTGTAAGAAATATGATTATATGTCAGTGTAACATAATTTCCTTTAATAGAACTACTTTAATTCTAATATTATAAAGCACTGACACGTCTCTTCAGTCTGGCTGGATTACATGATCTCCCTGTCCATTTTAGATTTAATTTTTTCAAATTACTTTTAAAGCCTTTCATGGTTTGGTTACGTTTTCTATACGTCTGATTTTTCACCTCCCTATTCTCAGTGGTGGAGGAAGTATTCAGATCCTTTACTTAATTAAAAGTACTAATACCACACTGTAAAGATGCTCTGCTAATAGTTAAAGTCCTGCATTGAAAATGTGACTTTAGTAAAATCGGGAAAACGCATCATTAAAAGTACTCAATGCAGAATATTTTGAATCAAATTGATAAATAAAAATACATAAAATAGCTGAGGGAAAAGCAGCAAGTCCTCATGGCAGATAGTTTCAACCGCATATTTGTATATTTTTATATAGTTTATGTGACAAAATCAAGTAATTGTAGCGGAGTAAAAAGTACAGTATTCTTCACATTGTTGATTTTATTTTTGTTTCCATGTTTGACCATTCCTCGTTGAATTTCATGACATTACAATTATTTTTATGTGCAAATGTGAAGAACCACTTATGGTTAACAAAAATTTAAATGCAACACTTTTATTTTTGCTCCTATTTTTCACAGGTTTAAATCAGTCAGACTTGTTTTCCCATGCACCCAATTGATATATTTTCAAATTTTGGTCCAAGCACTTTTCCTTTTCCGAGATAATCTATCCAGGTGACAGGTGTGGCATATCAAAACAGCATCATTACTACACAGGTGTGCCTTGTAGGGCTGCAACGAATCGATGACTAATCAACTATTAAAATAATCGGTGACTATTTTAGTAGTCGACTAATCGGTTTGAGTCATTTTTCATAGAAAAGTACTATAAAAGTACCCCAAAATACTCTTATCGCAGCTTCTTACGTTCAAATATTGGCAGCTTTACATACTCTGAAAAGACCAAGAAAAGTCCGCACACTTTAGCTCCCTTTAGGTGCATTTATTCCACCAACCTGGAGTGACGTTTCTTCTTCGAAGAAGGGCACCTGTGGCCCGAAACGTCACTCCAGGTTGGTGGAATAAATGCACCTAAAGGGAGCTTAAGTGTGCAGACTTTTCTTGGTCTTTTCAGTTTTATTCATTTAGTCCAGCATCTTTTTCATTTTTTGGATGTGCGCGGCTGCTCTGTTTGTTTTCAGCTTTACACACTTTCCCATGACAGTGAACTAAAACCTGTTTGCGTGAGTACAAAACAACACATTAGATGACATAATTTTGAGGTTTGGGAGAGACAGGCCGACATTTTTAACATTTTAACACATTTTTCGAAAAAATTATTAGTCTACTAATCGAAGAAATAATCGACAGATTAGTGGACAATGAAAATAATCGTTAGTTGCAGCCCTAGTACCTTGGGATGGGGCGGCAGTAGCTCAGCCCATAGGGACTTGGTTTGGGAACCAGAGGGTCGCCTGTTCGAGTCCCCATCCGGACCAAATATGGAGCGTGGACTGGAGGCTGGAGAGGTGCCAGTTCACCTCCTGGGCACTGCGGAGGTGCCCTTGAGCAAGGTAGCCCCCTCACTCTGACATCTCTGCACTTTGTGCATGTATAGGTCCTGTTTGTGCATGTGTGTCTTTCGGACCTGTGTGTTAATGACAAAAAGAGTGAAAAAATTAAATTTTCCCCTAAGGGGGATTAATAAAGTATATAAAATTAAATTAAAACTTAATTAATTTAATTAATTAATTTTTAATTTAATTTTGACAAGACTGTAATTAAATTTAATTATTTTTTAATTAAATTAAAATTAAATTAAAAATTAAATTAAATTAAATAAAAAATTAATTAAACTTAAAAATTATGGGCACCTCCAGGATATGCAGTTTG